ATGTATGATTCCTAGAGTGTCATGACAAGCCAGAAGTGACGTCATGACATCACATGTCATTACACAATGTCACTCTATGCCCCCACCCCTTGCTCCTGCTGGAGCAAAGATGCCTTGCAGGGCCTGCAGTCCAGGCGTAGGATCTTGGGCTCTGTTCCTGGGAGGGTGGCAACTCTAGACTTGCCTCACCTCTGAAGGTGGGAGCACAGAGAACAGGGCTTGTGAGGAAGGTTTTAAGTGGAGGACTATAAAAGTAAGAGGCGGTCCTTCAAGTATCATGGGCCCAAACCATTTAGAATCTTGTAGGTAAGAACCATCCAGGGGTCATTTCCTGCAGGAGCGCACAGGAGTGGAGCTCTGGCAGTAAGGAGCCCAGGGGGTGGGCACATGCAACAAGCCCTGCCCCCTGCTCCCAGCAGCCCTCAGTTGGGCCACGAGGAGCAAGAAGCAGCCAGGTAAGTTGCAGAGCCCCCCTCGGCCCGCCTTCAGGTACAAGCTCTCCCTCCTCTGTGAGGGCAGATCTGTGCATCCCCCCCCCCAATAGCTAGCAATCCAAAACAGTCCAGTGGCACCTTTAAGACCAAGTTTTGTTCAGGTACAAGCTCTCCCTCTTCTGTGAGGGCAGATCTGCATCCCCCCTCCCAATAGCTAGCAATCCAAAACAGTCTAGTGGAGCCTGAGCAGTGGGTGTTGCCTTCTGACACACTTCCGGTGATGTCAGGGAGTGTGGCATATCAAGCAAATAAGTTATGCTAATAACTTGTGCTAATGAGCTCCTGCACCTCTTTTTCTACGAAATGACCCCTGGCAACCATCACTTTGAATTGTGCTCAGGAACAAATGGGCAGCCAGTTTTCTTAATACGTAAATAAATTTTCTTGCATTTCACTGAGGTGCTTGGAAGAGAGCAGCATGATTTAGAGAAAAATAGATGCATTTTTATTTCTCCATTTGAGTACACTGGAACAGCAATTTATAATGACTATTCATATTTATATAAAGGTAAAGGGTTTCTCTTGCTCGAAAGCCAGTCAAATCCGTTTCCAAGCTGAAGAGCCAGCACTGTCCAAAGACATTTCCATGGTCATGTGGCTGGCATGACTAAACGCCGAGGCGCATGGAACACTGTTACCTTCCCACCAAAGCAGTACCTATTTATCTACTTGCAATTTCTTGCTTTCAAACTGCTGGGTTGGCAGGAGCTGGGGCCAGAGACGGGAGCTCACTCCATCACGCGGCACTCAGGTCTCGAACTGCCGAACTACAGACTTTCCGGTCTGCAGCTCAGCGTCTTAACCACTTGAGCCACCACATTTCGCTAAATGCTCATAGCTGTTCATATGCATTGTCTCAGGGCCAAACTAAACATGATGGGGGAAATCCATGTTAATTTATCCACGTGTACCTCATTTATAAAGGAAGGGATGGTGTAGGGCTCTTGGCTTATTTTGCAGAAAATGGCGCTCACAAGTGAGGAAAGCTAAATGCTTCCTTCTTTCCTGGTCTTCTCCCAGCCCAGCTCCAATTCTGGAAGTGAGCTGGGCTAGAAGGGGAAAAATCCGAAGGAAATCCCTAAGGAAAATACAACAGAGAACAATAAGGGAGGTGGAGAAGGGACAACATAAAGCTCCCCCTGCCTGCATCCTCCGTTATTCTGTATTTAGCAAAAAGAAAATCACAGATTCACAGCGTTCTCAACTAGCCTGGCCTGGGGGAAAAGTCCTGCCTCTTTAATAGAGGTGTAATAGGATACTATTTACCGGGTGATTACGTTTGCCAACCTCCAGGTGGTGCAAACCAAGAGGAGAGATCACTCGATGGAGGTAAAGATCAGAAAACAACCGTGATATATTATGCCAAAAGAAATATCTGCAGACTCATAAATTCTTATCCCATATGCAGTTTACTTTTGTTGTTGTTGTTCAGTCGCACAGTCGAGTCCGACTCTTTGCGACCCCATGGACCAAATCCCGCCAGGCCCTCCTGTCTTCTGCCGTCCTCTGAAGTTGGCTCAATTTCATGTTCGTTGCATCTATGACACTGTCTAACCATCTCATCCTTTGCCGTCCCCGTCTTCTTTGACCTTCAATCTTTCCCAGCATCAGGGTCTTCTCCAGTGAGTGCTCCCTTCTCATTGGGTGGCCAAAGTATTTGAGCTTCAGTTTCATTATCTGGCCTTCCAGGGAACAGTCAGGGTTGATTTCTTTTAGGATTGACTGATTTGATCTTCTTGCAGTCCAAGGGACTCTCAAGAGTCTTCTCCAGCAATGCAGTTTACTGGAGCTAATCAATTCCTCAGGAATCATTCATAATGATGCCATCAACACAACGGACTATGCATATCAAGTCTCGTTTCGTTCACAACTTTGTCAGAGTGTGTAGCATTAAAATTTCGATATAGTTAATTCGTTTAGCAAGCGCTATGGCAAAATCTCTTAGAACCAGTCATCAATTCACTGGCGTGGTGCCAGTGGACAAGAATTTATGAGTCTGCAGATATTTCTTTTGGCATAATATATCATGGTTGTTTTACTCATCTTAACCCCCAGGCGGTATCTGGAGATTTCCTGGCATCACAACCAATGTTCCCTCTAAGCTGTGGAGTCTTGTGAGCAAAAATTCTACTTTGTGAGCTCCGGGCATTAAAGTTGTGAGCGAGCGATTTGGCTACTGCATAAATTAGTTTGCTCTGGAGCCATCCCTTCCTGAGCGAAGGCAAAAATGTGTGAGCCGGAAGCTAAAAAACTGTGAGCTAGCTCAACTAACTCAGCTTAGAGGGAACAGTGATCACAACTGATCTCCATGCAACAAAGATCACTTCACGTGTAGAAAAATGGCCAGTCTGGAAGGTGGACTGAAAAGTACTCGGAAACGTTGAGTGATTCAGCAGGGAGTACTTTATTAGAGCAAGAACAAGACAGAAGATCCCGGCACGCAGGCCGGTATATATACACCACCAAGACACACCCCCTGGTCACCCTATAGGTTATTTACAGTGGCCGAGAGTCCCATTGGCTCTCGGCCGCGGACCTGGCCCTCTGGTTGGTGCGGGCTAGGATCCGCTCCGCTATTGTTCTACAGGAACGAAGCTCTGGGGTTGTGCTTGACCGCATGGCCCAACGGTCGCGCACGTGGTAATGGCGGATACATTACATGGACTCTGAGAGCCAGTTTGGTGTAGTGGTTAAGAGCGGCGGGACTGTAATCTGGAGAACTGGGTTTGATTCCCCACTCTTCCACATGAAGCCAGTTGGGTGACCCTGCGTCAGTCACAGCTCTCTCAGAGCTCTCTCAGCCCCACCTACCTCACAGGGTGTCTGTTGTGGGGAGAGGAAGGGAAGGAGATTGTAAGCCGCTCTGAGACTCTGAGTGACGGTTGGGGTATAAATCCTCCTCCTCTTCCTCTTCTTCTATTATACCCCACTGAGGTCCCTCCCCTCCCCAAATTTCACCTGCCTCAGGCTCCACCCCCCAAATCTCCAGATATTTCCCAACCGGGAGCTGGTAATCCATTTTGATCAGAAAAGCGAGTAGTGGCTGCTTCAATCACCCCCCTAGGGTTGCCAGCCTCCAGGTAGGGCCTGGAGATCTCCCGCTTTTCCAACTGATCTCCAGCTGACAGAGATCAGCTGCCCTGGAGAAAATGGCTGCTTTGAAGGGCGGACTCTACGGCACTGTACCATGCTGAGGCCCCTCCCCTCCTCAACCCCCACCCTCTCCTGGATCCACCCCCAAAGTCTCCAGGTATTTTCCAACCCACAGCTGGCAACCCTACCCCCCCCCCAATTTATTTATTTCATGGAGTTATATCCTGTTCTTTAAAACACGTACAAGGTGATAAACCATGCTCAATTAAAACAATAAAAAACCTAAAACCAGTAATAAAACTGCTCTGAAAGGCTACATTTCAGAGGGGAAACCCCCTTCTGGAGTCTGACCATGCATCTGTCTTCCTTCAGCTCTTAGTGGTGGATAGAAATGGGACATGTGGCATGCCGGTGTTTTACAGCATAAACACTGTCACACTGCTCTAAGACCATGGAAGTCAATGGGATTACTCTGAGCCTTAGCCAAGCCAGTGGAATTTTTCTACAAACCCTTCTTGCTGTGTATGATTTAAACTACATATGATCTCCCCCAGTCCTCCCCCAGTCATGACAAATGGCAATAATTGTGGCTCCAGTAAAAAGTACACATGCTTTTAATTAACAACACAGCAGGTTGATTGCCATGGTGGTTTGTGGGGGGGGGGAGTCCAAATGCATCATCAGTGCAAGGCTTCTATTACAACTAACAAAAACATCACAAAGTAATAACTTTTGCATTCACCCATAACTCTTTTGAGAAACTCAGAGAAACAGTTGCTCGCTTTGTGTTACCTAATAGAAGGTATTCTGCGGCTGTTGCTTTTAATTAAAAAGAGGAGCTAATGAAATCTGGGCGATCACAGACACATGCTGATCCTGACACAATCTATTTTTAAATGTTCATCAAGTAACAGATCTATTTAACGTGTGCAGTTTCTTCGGTCCACGTTTTGGGTATGTACGCATTATATATCTATCTATATTTTAGACATGTGAGCGCGTATTAGCAGAGACATACGCTCATTTCTCAGATATTTCCTATAATTAGGCAGATAAACTACGTATTAAGACCTCACTGTCGTTAGGAATATTGATTATATAGATCGGAGATGTCTTTCATGCAGAGACCCGACGGATTATTCGTTTCTTCATCGACATTCATGTAAAAAATTAAGGGACGTCAAAGGTATTTTAGGGTACTACCCAAAACAATGAAGCTAGCAAAGCTTAGTAATGATATATATGTTTAATTTATCACAGGTGGGGCTTAAATAATGAATAGCTGTGCTTGTTCATCATGCTGTTTAAAGTGCTCTAGAAATATGAAAACAGGACAGAGAGGGGGGGGGATGGCTGTTTACATGCCATCTTAAGGAAACAGAACAAACAAGCTTCTTATTTCTATATACTCACAGTGGAATGCTCTTAATAGAATGGCTGACATGAAGTAGAAAAGATTGATGGCTTCTTCCTCTTTTGTAGTGTGGCTCTTAGACAAAAGAGGGCTGCATGTAATTCCCACTTGTGGCAAGCATGGCCGAAAAGATAAGTCTTGTTTTGCAGGGGCTCATGGTATCACTGTATATCTGGTACGGATAGTTGTTTCATCACACTGTAGCAGGTGCCTCTTCCCAAGGACATCGGGATGGGAAATGTTTGGGCCTGGCCTTTGGATCACATCACACGCGTCTGTTTTAATTGGGGGGGGGGGAGTTCAGGTGCCAAGGCATGTTTGAGGCAAAGAATGCAGTTTTAACTCCTAGGCATGTTCTTAATGCTTTCTTAAGTAAAAACCAGGAGCTGCGGTGGCTCAAGTGGTTAAGACGCTGAACTGCAAGCTGTGGAAGGTCAGTAGTTCAGCAGTTCGAGACCCGGGTGCCGCATGATGGAGTGAGCTCCCATCTCTAGTTCCAGCTCCTGCCAACCTAGTAGTTCGAAAGCAAGAAATTGCAAGTAGATAAATAGGGACCACTTCGGTGGGAAGGTAACAGCGTTCCGTGCGCCTTGGTGTTTAGTCATGCTGGCCACATGACCACGGAAACGTCTTCGGACAGCGCTGGCTCTTCGGCTTTGAAACGGAGATGAGCACCGCAACCCTAGAGTCGGATTCGACTGGCTTTCGAGCAAGGGAACCTTTACCTTTTTAAGTAAAAACCACAAGCTTTTCATTCCCTCAGCATCTCCAGTCGCCCTTGATGGTTCAGCAGAGGCCCTTGTTGGAGACGGATGGGAATGACTGAGGAAATATTATTCATGTAAGAAATTAGACAGGTGGCAGCACAAACGCAAGAACCCACAGGCTGCCGCATACCTACACTATATAGGCCCCCTCAGAGGTCCGTATCGGCCCAGGGCACTTCCAGATTCGGAGGCTCCTAGTCATAAAAAGTTTTTTAAAAGATGACACGTGATGTCCATAAAAGCAAGTTATGCAATTTATCAAACGCCAAAAAATTAACATGTCTAAATTGGAAGGCCCCCTAAAATTTGAAGTCCTGAGCAAATAGCCTTCCTGGCCCTGGGTTGTCAACCTCCAGGTGGGGCCTGGAGATCTCCTGGAATCACAACTGCTTTCCAGATAACGGAGATCAGTTCCTCTAGAGAAAATGGCTGCTTTGGAAGGTGGGCTCTATGGCATTATACCCTGCTGAGGTCCCACCCCACACTCCCGTGTCCACCCCCAGACACCAAGGAAACTATTATACCCTACTTGGCCTCTCCTCTTATTGGCCCCGCTACTGTGTTGAGCTGCCAAGCCCCAAGTGGGGGCGTGATGTCTCCCTCCCACCCACCTCCAGCTCCTGTTACACATATACCCCGCCCTTCACTACCCAAAGGAGTCTCAGAGCTTACAATCTCCTTTCCCTTCGCCTTCCCACAACAGACACCCTTGACAGAACAGCTCTGAAAGAACTTGTGACTGACCCAAGGTCACACCAGCAGCTGCATGTGGAGGAGTGGGGAATCAAACCCAGTTCTCCCAGATTAGAGTCCACGCTCTTAACCACTACACCAAAATAGCTCTCGGTGGGATAATCTTTTTTTTTAAAGGCAGCCTAGAATTCCTGGCAATTCCTAGCAATTCCCTGTGCCACGTCTGGGTTTCTATCAGAAGTGACATAATGTCACAGCCAGTGTCATCCCCCCCCCCCATTTCTCCGCCCTCAGCCCTCACACTACTTGTCATGGAGTAAGCCTCTCTCGAACTCAGTGGGATTTACATCTGAGTATGCGTTTTAAGATTGCACTACCTAGATTGTTAGATGGCAGGACTAAAGGCCAATTTATGTAGGCCACGCTGCTGCCAGAAAAGCTGTTATCTGCATAGCTCCTGTGCTGTCAATAGCCTTCGAGCAATTCTTGGCCCCGGGCAGGAGTTGAATCTTTCAAACGCGATGGAGCTTCTGAGCCGGAAAGGGCTTTTCGGCATTGGAATCACATCTACTTAGACTCCTTTTTTTATTAGGAAAGTGACTTCTTCTGTATGACTTTCCTCAGGAAATTAAAAGTTAACCGTTCCCAGCATGAAATGGAGAAAACCAAGTGCGGGGTAATTGCTTTAATTACAGCATGGGTGGATAAAACAGAGACCAAAGTTTTTACCTTGGATGTAGGGTGGTAGAGTGAGTGTGTCTGGTTTCACATAGAGGCTTTTCACCACTGAGACTCCAGGATGCCATCCTCCAGGTGGGACCTGGGGATCCCCTGGAATTCAGCTCAGCTCCAGACTACAGAGATCGGTTCCCTTGGGAGAACCGAGGGTGGACTCTATGGCAATGTACCCCACTGAGGTCCCTGTCCTCCCCAGGCTCCATCTCCAAATCTCCAGGAATTTTCCAGCCTGGATCTGGCAACACTATACCCCCATCTCCAGCCAGTGGCCGGGGGAACTGGCAACCCTACTGAGGGTCTTTTATTTTATTTTCAAGCAACCATATGACATCATGCTCTAATTATCGCCAGGTTTTCTCCTGCTGTGCTCCAATTTTTCCCAACCCTGGTTTGATACCATTTTTGAGGGGGAAATCAGTAAAAGCATTGATTGTATGCCACGTGCATGAAAAAGGTGCCCAATGTAGCCTGAAAAATCTGCTTTTCCACCTTCCTATCATTGTAAATTTTGTAACAACCAATTTGAAGAAGAGTTCTGGTGGTCTCCAAAGCTTGTGGAATGTGCTGAGGTCAATTTGGTTGGTCCTATGAAAAGGTATTACACGGACTTAATTATTGTTTTTCAAGTAATCTTTGGCCAGTCACTCTCTGTCAGCCTAACCTACTTCAGAGGATAGTTTTCAGGTGGGTAACTGTGTTGGTCGGCAGTAGAAGAGCGCCGTAAAGACCAACAAAATTTTCAGATACAAGCTTTTGAGAGTCAAAGCTCCCATGTCAGGTACCAGTATCGGAGAAAGGGAAATCTGACTCTTGGTGTAGTGGTTAAGTGCACGGACTCTAATCTGGGAGAACCGGGTTTGATTCCCCACTCCTCCACTTGCACCTGGCTGGATGACCTTGGGCAAGCCGTAGTTCTGATAAGAGCTGTCCTTGAAAAAAAGCAGTTTCTGTCAGAGCTCTCTCAGCCCCACCTACATCACAGGGTGTCTGTTGTGGGGAGGGGAAGGGAAAGGAGTTTGTAAGCCGCTCTGAGACACCTTTGGGTTGTGAAGGGCGGGGTATAAATCCATTCTCTTCTTCTTCTTCTTCTTCTTCTTCTTCTTCTTCTTCTTCTTCTTCTTCTTCTTCTTCTTCTTCTTCTTCTTCTTCTTCTTCTTCTTCTTGAAATCTCATATCCTGGAAATCTTGTTGGTCTTTAAATTGCTGCTGGACTTGACTCTAGCTCTTCTACAGACTTTGGGCACTCAGTGTCAATTTGCTGTAGCGACCTCAGCAGGGTGTGACACCAAGTCCACCATTTTCTCCAGAGGAACTGATCTCTGCTACCTGAAGAGCAGTTGTGATTTTGAATGATCTCCAGCCCTCACCTGGAGATTGGCAACAATGGTTCCCCATGAGGGACTGGCTGGTTTGGAGGGTGGCGTCTATGGCATTGTACCTGTCTGAGGCCCCACCCCTCCTCAAACCCCACCCTCTCCAGGCTCGACCCCTCACATCTCCAGGAATTTTCCAACCTGGAGTTGGCAACCCTATCTCCTTCCCAGTCAACCATCAACATACCTTTATCTGCCACTCTGACTTCAGCTTTCCATCTCCTCTCCCCTCTCTCCCGGAGAGCAGTTGTAATTCTGAGTGATCTCCAGCCCCCACCTGGAGATTGGCAACAATGGTTCCCGCTGAGGGAATGGCTGGTTTGGAGGGTGGAGTCTATGGCATTGTACCTGTCTGAGGCCCCACCCCTCCTGAAACCTCACCCTCTCCAGGCTCCATCCCTCAAATCTCCAGGAATTTCCCATCTGGAGTTGGCAACCTTATCTCCTTCCCAGCCAATCATCAACCTACCTTTATTTCCCACTCACCTTTAAGCTTTCCACCACCACCTGCAGCCTCTACCGTGCTCTGAAGCCCTGAACTGAAGCCCTGACTGCTACGTCACATTGGCTGTCATACAGGGGCCATCTCAGCAGGATATAAGGACACAGAGTCCACCGTTTTCTCCAGGGGAACTGATCTCTGCCATCTGGAAAGCAGTTGTAGTTCTGAGTGATCTTCAGCCCTCACCTGGAGATTGGCAACAATGGTTTCTCCCAACAGGCACTAAGGGTACCTCAGAACACATTTTACCTCAGAACAGCAACAGCAAACTGCTTAGAATGTTAGAGGCAAAGACCAATGAGGCCACATATTCAAACTACCTCGGTGCTCCGAGGCAAAGGCCAATCAGGCCACATATGCAAATAACCTCTGTGTTCTGACTGGCTATGGGGGGGGAGAGGAACACCAAACTGTTTAGAATGTTGGAGGCGAGACTCAGGCAACGCAGCCAATGGATAGGGACAGCTTCTGAGTGACAGATCACGGAGCCAAAGGCTGTGGGCGCCGTCTGGAATGTTCAGCAGCGTGCCACCACCAACAGAGAATTATTATATAGAGAGATATCATCGGACGTATCTTTTCCCAGGTTGTCAATAATGATCTTCTTATCAAATGATTTTAAAAATATTTATGTCCAGAAGCTTTCCCATACTATAGGAACGTGGCCACAGTTTGTTGAATACTTTTTAATAGGACCACCCAAATTGACCTCAGAACATTCTGGAAACACCAGAACCCTTCATCAGAGTCATAGATCCAGAGGAGTTAGCCGTGTTAGTCTGTTGCTGCAACGCAGTTAAAAGCCTAGTAGCACCTTTAAGACTAACAAACTTTATTGTGGCATAAGCTTTCGAGAAACACAACTCTCTTCATCAGATGCATGGAGGGTATGAAGAAACTAGCCAGAGATATATAGGTGGTAAGGGGAGGGGGGAGAGGATGCAGAAAGTGCCATGTAAATGCAAAACTGTTGCAAAAGTCATGAAAAAGGTAGAATGCACAA